TCAGCTCAGCACAGTTCGGCGCAGCTCAGCTCGTCTCTGCTCTGCTCTGCTTGCTTTGCTCATTTGGCTAAGTGCTGCCGCTTCTACTGCCTCTGCTGCCAACTTGGCGCACATTTGAGGTTTTTAATTAATTGTTAGCGCGACTTATTGACGGTCTGGTTGGTTGGTTGCCATGGCAGGCATAAAAAATGTCAAACTAGCACTTAAACTGCCGCCCACAGTCAACGGTCCGGGTCTGGTTCTGGCGATGGCTCTGGCTCTGGCTTTGGTCGCCTGCCACGCTTTCCTACTTGTCAGCCAAGAGCCACCCTCGACAATATGCTGCCCGTCCAAAGGCGCATTAATAAAAAGCCACGTCGTGTGCGGGAAGCAGGCACAGTGGCCTCAAATTTTTTTTTTACACATTTTTAGAAAAATTTTGCCTTAAAATGGAACTGAGTTGGATTTGTTGAAGGTTTTTCAATGATCATATGCATAAATTATTTGTTAAATGCTTTGGTAAAAGCTACGTACGTCCTTGCGGCTTGTACAGAAAAAAAGTTGAGTAAATTGCTTAAAGTATTTCAGATTTCCACCAGTATCTAAAATATAGTTGGAAAAACTTTTCATATCTGAAATGTATTCTATATGCAGGTAAATGCCTATGAAGTTCTTAGAAACTCTCGTATTCAGCATTAAAATTAAAATTATTTAAATATATTAAATACATTTTATTTACCTGCTCAGAATTTTTATTGCGCCCAAAAAAAGGTGAAATACAAATTTAAAAAAAAAAAATTAATAAGAAATAAAATGGCAAATAAAATGTAAAATAACAAATTTCATGAAATTCACAAAAAAAAGTTTTAAAAATATTTTATTTGATAGGGAAAGGGGTTTTAGTCAGTCCAGCATATCACATATTATTTTTATGGGTTCCTTGAATTTGCTTAAGGCCATACAATAGCTAATTGGTGTCCTTAAACAAATGAGCTTGTGCACACGGTTCCATACCTGATTTGCTGCTGCCTAGTTATGGCGGGCAATGTTAATCTGTTCCTCAGATAAGTCATTGGCATTTTTGCACAGTTAATTGTATAGTATTTGATCATTTCTTGATACAATACTTGTAAAGTCATCTTCAGTACTGTCCAAATGCTTGTGAACCACTGTGCCAAGTTGCCATTGCAAATGTGAAACAGTTTGACAATGCCACCACCCACAAATTAGGCCTGTAAGCAGATGCCACCAACACCGCGGCATCGTCGCGGCCATGTTGCCCACCAAGGGGTGTCAATGTTGTTGCCTTTCAACCACCGCAAGCATTTTTGACCCCTTGACAGCGGCCGCGAGTGGGTTTATGGCACCTTCTCTTTCACCGAACTGGCAGCAGCCAGTCCAGACAGACAGTTAGACAGACAGACAGGCCATTATGATGCACATTCCATGTAAAAACAATTTTGGCAAACATCAACGGAGACGACCTCGTCGCAATTTGGCCAACGAATTGTATCACAAGTTGCGCTAATCCGCTTGGCTAATCCACTGGATTAGCGTTTGCATTTTCACTTAAAATACAATATAAAAACAAAAGACAAAAAAGTGGAAAGCAAAACAATATAAAGTGGAAAAACGTCTGTGATTAATCCGGGTCGCCATCACCATCACCATTGCCGTCTGCCCTCGCGGTCAGGTACAAATGGCGTGTCCGCGAAACAAAAAACGCTACTCGCTCAGCTTGTTATGCACACTCCTTTTGCTTTCCGGCTCCGACGCTAATCCGCAAGCCAATAAAGTCGTAAAAAAGTTATGACCGCTTCTTGGTCTCTCGGACGATTTGTTGTCATCGCGCGGGCGGGCAATTCGCATTCCTTTGTCTTCCGAAATTATTTTTGTACACATGAAGCGGTAGGTGGGCCGACGGCGATGCCAAGGCCATCATAAATGGCCGGTAATTTGTAGCAAGGGTTTTTATTTACTGGGTCCTTAACGCACCATGAAATTAGTCGAGAATTTCTGGTACACACACCAAACACATCCTTCGTTGAGAGCATGAATGTAAGAGCTTTGGAAAACTTTCAATGTAGCAACAACTAAAAGGAAAAAGTATGAGAATTTTCGATTGGTAGGTATACTCGTATATCAAAATAGAATGCATCTACATTTTTGGTTCCACAAAATAGCATATTTATTTACGAGTATGTTATCTAGATTATTACAAAGTAGAACTAATATTGTTGGGAGTAGTTTAGAAGACATGAATATAAAAGCTTTGAGACACAATGAATGTAGTAAGAACAAATTAAGGGAAGTATTCGATTTGAAGTTATGTACGAATCATTAAATTGAAAGCATCGCGTTCTTATTCCACAACAATACATAAATACCTAAATAATCTAAACAGGCAGTCAAAAATATAACTGACTGTGATGATAGTATTTCTGGACGTACATTGGAGCATCGAAAATTGTTTAGAAATTAAAATAAATGCTTTAATAACACAAACTAAATACATTTTCAAAAAACGAATATGATAGAAGAAAAACTGATACAACTATTATCATCCAATATATTATTGTAGGCAGAAGGGCTCTGCAAATAATTTCCGAAAAAAAAAACAAACCTAAATCATTTTAACTATACTGTATGTTCTCAAGATTTCACTTCAAAGATTTTATTTCAATAAAACAACTTTTTTGAAATCAACAGGAAATTTTAGCTTTTAGTACTTTCTAACTTTTTCCTCTGGATTTAGGTGTGAAAAAAATTAATGGTCGCTACCTATAATGACGAGATGAAATTGCATCTAAGAAGCTTAAATGGTAGGTTGAGAACATATTCATGAATGATAAGCATGTCGAAACACGTCAGCTTTTTCGTTCATATTTTCGAAAATAAATTTATTAGAGATTAATATATTAGAGCACGATTACAAAAATTATATAGCTACCATAGCATCGATCGATCACTCATAAACAAATACATTTTTTGTTCGTCAAGATATCGTAAGAAAATTTGGTTTCTGTAAGTTAATTAACATGCTTCACTGTAATCAGTAGTTTCATCGAAATCGACGCAAAAATGCAAAACTATTTTTAGTACCAATAATTTTTTGGTAATTTTTAAAATTTTTTTAATAATGTACTGAACTGTAATATATAGTCTCATCAAACTTTGTCGTATAGTTGCCATAGAAAAGAGTGTTGCAAAAAAGTTTGTTTTAGTTGTCGGAAGCGAAGTAGCGAAGAGGTTGCGTATACACGCCTAATATTTTATATTAATCACAATTTCCTAGGCAACAATTTCGAAACCCATTAAGAAATTAAAAACTGCAACTAAATCGTTTGAAATCTGTTTTCCTATCTGACTGAGCACTTCAACATTAAACGCATAGTATTATGACCTACAATAAAGAAGAATTGCTTAAATATCTCTTTTTATGGTGGCTGCAGCATCGCTTTGAAGCACTTTCCATTTAAAAACGGGAGTTCCTAAAGATAAAGATTGCTAACCACTTCTATCCAGCTATTTGCATATAAATATGTACAAGTATGTATGTACTATAAATATGTATGTTGTATTTCAGTGGGTAAATTTTCCTCTGTGTGCGCCCTATTCTATTCCACTTTACACCTCATGCAAGCAATCTTTACATAATTATTCAACATCACGTCAATGCAAAACAAATATTTGTGATATTTCATATCTGTGTATAGGGAACACGCAGTATCACAACAGTTCCAACAGCAACAATACAATAACAATAACAACAATAGTCAATATTTGATATTTTAACACATTTCACGCACACACATACACACACACACACACGCATAAAAATTACGGCAACGGAAAACTGACGAGGAGCCGCTGAAGACAATGCAAGTGGATTTATTAATGACCGCAATTATTCTTATTATTATTATGTACAAGCTAGGAATAACCAACAAAAAAATATATATGTAGAAATAAAAAAAAAATCTGTAAACTCGTTGATTTCTTCGTCTAAGATTTCAATGCTTGGGCCCCCGTTGCGCCGCCTCAGACAATGGCCCCACATGGATACGAACCCCGAATACCGAACACCGAATATCGAATGGAAATACCAATACCTGCGCGACTGTTGCCTTTGTATCTTGCGTTTTGTTAGACGAGGCGCAAAATAAACGGCGCATTAATCAATGAAACGTATACAACGACAAATAGTTGTATAATGTTTCCCAAGACAACACTTCGGCAAATCGAATTAAAGCTGCTCATTAGGAAAACAAATCGGACGGGGCGTGCGAAAGTTGCAAATCTGCCAAGATGTTTCATTTTGGGAATTACAAATGATTAGATTATACTTCTGTGATTAATATTTTATAAAAAAAAAAAAGAGTAGCCTTTAGCACATTACAGACAAATTAAAATGTTTGTGGTTGCCTTTGTTAAGAGATTGTGCGCATTGTGTTGAGAATAGATTTCACAAATTGCGGTGTGGAATATTTGCTATTTAGCATAAATTCATATTTTCAATGCAAATTGGCCTGAGAACTTTCTAATAACCTAAATATTTTGAAGATCTTTGTCTGAGCCAATTAAGCTCAAAGCAATTTTGATTGCTGAAATACTGATAGCGCTGGGTTTGTGTAGAAAATATCCCAAAATATCTGGTAAACTTCCAAACAATTTTTTTGTATTTATGTGAAATAGAATATTATACAAAACTTAATTTTCTTTGGAGTATCAAGTCTGAAAAGAGTTAAGGAAAAACAATGCTATTACATTTAATTATATTTTGAAAATCGTTTAATGGTGATTTTACGCCAAGAAATGCTGTTGAACCTAAATAAAATTTATTTACCATATCTATAGCCTTCAATTGAGGTGTTAGACATAAAACGATTTTTTGTACAAACTAAAAAAATATCAACGATTAGAAAAAATAGGTGTCAGGCCGACTCCACTTTTTCCTTAAAAAAAGAGTCTTGAAACACCTCAAACATAATCCCCACAGTTGTAGAAAATATAGTCAATAGTTTTCGGCTTTACATAATAAGATGTAGCGCATGATTTTATTCACTTTTAAATAAGTATTTTAATTTCGCTTAGAACTATGTTTACGTTTAATAAAATTAATAATACATACAATATGTTTTCTTTCTCTGTGCATAGGCTGCCGAAGCGGCGCTAAAACGAATTTGCTTGGTATTTACAATTTTAGATTGATATTCTGGGGATTTCTTGGGGTTTTCTTGCCTCAGCTTCAGCAACTAGGAGAGTGTGCTGGGAAAGTGGAATGGGAACAATAAAAACAACAAATAGAGCGCACTTAAAACTAAATAAAATTAATTTACAATTAGGTTGCCTTTTTGTTTTTGTTTGCGTTTAGTGACAAATAAATAAAATTTTATATGTAGCATTATTGGCTTAATTATTGGCTAGGAATGTGTACTTTTTTCATGAAATTTTCCTCAACTTGCTTTTTGTTAATATAGTTTTTTCATAGATTGTACTAAAATGTAGCGAGCGTGTTGGAATAGAGAACTAGAGCTGATAGAGTGGGAGAACTAGAGTTAGATTTAGGGTTAGAGTAGTCTCGCTTACTTAGAGCTTTCTTAAAGATTTAAAACCAGTGGATCACTTTGGGAGGGGTCTCGAAAGCGTCGGTTGAGAACTGGCCGCCTTTTTTTTTCTAAATGTTCGACCTCTTAAACGCTTCCAACAACAATGCAAATTGTACTTTACTCCGATGTGCTAGCTGTTAGCTCAGCTGCTAGCTCAGGCTAGCTGTCCAGCTATCGTCCTAATATAAAACCGGAACCGGTCGCCTCAGCGCACTGTCCATGGAGGCCTCCATGCCATTGGGCGTTATTGTGCCTGGCGAGGATCCCGGCGACGAGGTTGACGATGATGTGTAAAGACCAGCGGCCGCTGCATTGGCAGAGTGTGCTGCATATAGCGAGGGTGCTGATATGCCCGAATAGATGCCGGAATAGAAACTGCTCAGGGTGGTCGGTGGCAATTGTGGTGCTTGTTGGGCCTCCAGCACTTTGTGCGACTGGTTGTTGGCCGCCGCTGCTGCAGCTGCCTGTGTCTGATGCAGTTTCGAGAGGGCAAGCGGATCGAAGCCTCCAAAGTAGGGCACTGGATAGGGCTGATCTAAGTGATGTGAGGGCGCAAAGTAGGGTGGCAGCTGATGGAAGGGATTGTAAGATCCAGGGCCGCCAGCACCATTACCGCCTAATTTCTGTTGTCCGTTGCCCTGCAATTGGAGAGCGCCTTGGGGTCCGGCAGCCAGTGGATTCTTGGGCTTGCGACGTGGCCGATACTTGTAATCTGGATGTTCCTTCATGTGGAGGGCGCGCAGGCGTTTCGCCTCATCAATGAACGGACGCTTCTCCGACTCAGCTAGCAATTTCCATTCGGCACCCAATCGCTTTGATATCTCAGAGTTATGCATCTTGGGATTATCTTTGGCAATCTGGCGACGCTGCAGACGAGACCAGACCATGAAAGCGTTCATCGGTCGCTTGATGTGTCCCTCCTGTCCCGGTGAAGTGGCCAGGCTGTGCATATTGGCGCCACCATTGCTCAGAGAACCGCCGCCGCCATGTGAAAGGCCGGCATGTGGGCCGCCGCCGAGTCCCGCCGAACCCAACGAGCTCTGACTTCCCAAACTGCCAGCGGATCCGATGGAGCTGTTGGGCGAAAGTGTCTGCTGGCCCGCCACCGTATGCATGTGACTCAGGGCAGCGCTCTGGGCCATGTGGTGACCCATGCTTGCAGTGCCCATACTGGGATTTCCGTTGCTCGCCGCATGACCACCGACCGGTGAGCCGCCCATGGCTGCCGAAATCTGTGAATAGTGCAGCACTCGCTTGATATCCATATCGCTGGGGCTCAGTTGGGCGCCTCCGCCGCCGGCGGCCTGTGACATATAGTCGCCGGGTGTGGGCAAGTCCAGACCCTGGCCTAAATGAAAGCCATAATTGGCATGTGTGGATAGGGTGGCCATCACTTTTAGTGCACTTTCTGAATGTAGTATGTTTTACTTTGATTTGATATTGTTGGCTATTTTTCTGTGGCTCTTTCTCGTTTTTCACACAAACACACAAGATCACTTTGCTCACACAATAGTTTTCTAATGTTTCTTTTTTATTTGTATAAATTCTTCTCACTGATTTCTTCCTCGCTTTCTATTGCTGCTGCTGCTGTTTTTGTGCTTCTGTTCGGCTCAACAGCTTCACACTGACTGATTTGTCTGCGCAATAATTGAGACTGACACGACTTCAACCAAATCCAGTTTCAGCTCAGTTTCAATTTCAATTTGAGTTCTGCGTTCTCTCGCTGCTGTTACCAGAAAAACCACCCCGAACAGGTAAGCGACGCGTTAGAGTGAGATGGCGCATATGCAGCTTCAAGCCTACCTGCCTCTGTACATGTGGGTATGTGTGTATTCGTGCAGCCAACGGCAATTGTTGTGCGACTCTCTCAACGCCAGGCGCTCTCTAGCTCTCTTTCATATGTGTGTGTGTGCGTGCATTGTCTGGCATTGCCGCCTTTGTTCCATTGGCTCCTTTATGAACGCGCGTTGTTGTCGTTGTTGTTAGTTATCGTTCTCGTTGTACTCGTCGTTGTTCGTCGTCGTCGTAGTTGCCGTTGGCCCATTGAGAGGGGTGTGTTCAATAGCCGTTTGTTGGCCCAAAGAAAGAGTGAATAGCAGCGCTTCAGTTGCTTTGGTCGCTCATCGTTTGCTCGTTGCTTTGTTGCTGTTGTTTTGAGCCATGTGTGTGCGCGCTACTACTCTGGCCTATTGTTGGTGTGCTGCTACTGCGCCTGGCTTAGTAGTTGGTCGGGTTGTTTCTGTTGTTGCATTTGTATTTGTAGTTGTAGTGCTGTGCTCCCATTTTGGCTTTTGTTGCAGTCCACTCTGACGACCTCATTTGCATACCCAGAAGCGGCAGAAGCAAAAGCAGCAACAACAACGACGCACACAACGACACATAACTGGACATATTGGGCACCACAGCAACATGAGTCTCCTCCACCCGTTCCCCAAACCACCCGCTGGCGCTTCCCTTCTCGTTCCCTCGTCCACACCTTGCACTGCATTGATTTTTGTGGCTCACAATTTCCGCTTTTGTTTTGAACGCTGCATCCACTTCCGCGCATTGTTGTTGTACATTATATTGTGTGCAAGAGGGTGAGTGTGTGGGTTGCGTGCATGTGTATGTGTGTGAGAGCGCGCTTTATGTACCGTTTGTTCAACCAATCACAATGGCTCTTTGGTGTGAATTTTTTTGTATGCGCGTCCATTGTGTGTGAGTGTGTGTGAGAGAGTGCATGAGTGTGAGTGGGAGAGCGTGGTGTGAGTGTGTGCTATATACAAGCCGCATATGTATTGTGCAATGTCTTTCAAAAGGATATAGAAAACACGCTTTCTATTCTGTTTTTGTTGTTGTTATTCTTGTTGTTGTCTTATTGTTGTTCCCGCCGTTGTTGTTGCTTTTCTCCTGATGCGCTCGAAAGGATATTACTGCAATTATTTACTTATTTGGGCAAGAAAAGTGTAGAAAAAACGAAGAAAGTCGTGTATGTATATACAAAAGGTAAATGCGCTGAATGGCTAAAAAAATATACTTGTATACTCGTATGTACATATGTACAAACATACTTGCATACAGTCATACTTATGTATGTACATATATGCAGAGATATCATATGTAACACATTCACATACATACACACATGACCATGTGCTTCCAGTTGCTTTTGATAATGTGAAAAAAATAAAAAAAAATATATACATATATAGTGGACAAAAAGGACACTGAGCAAAAGGAATGAAAATAATGCACGCTTTCAGCTTTCAAAGCCTTCGTTTTGTGATGAGAACCGACCAAACTGTTGATGTGTTGTAATGGAAAAAGTTTTTCCATCTTTTGCGCGCCTCACTTTTCACTTAGCAGCAAAGAAAGAGAGCAGAAAAGATGAAAAAGGAAGAACTTTTGCTTTTTGCCACGCTTTTCACAAACCCAAATGTTGCTTTTTATGCAATGGGGCCGGCCATTGTGGCCGCTTTGTCGGATAAAGGGGGGAGGAGTGGCTAGGCGCTTGGTGGGTGTGGCTCACTCAGTCAGGCAAATTGTTGTACTTATGTATATTTGATTTCAGTTCCCTTTCAATGGCATACGTAACTACAAACATAGATTCATGTATGTAAGTATGTATGTATATACATATAACAATATCTAAAAACTGTCACATGATAGGCCATGGATATATTGAATAAAATGTCACATCGTTTTGGTTAGACCACACAGACAATTTGTCCTCGCTAAACGAATGATTCACTTGCTCACCTATGTACACCAATCTATAGTTGCTTCTTTTTTCTTTTGCCCATGTTTATGTGTCCTTTCTCTCGGCTGCCTTTCAATCCGTTCTTTTCGAGAGTCGCGCGTTGCTGCATTGTTTGCACCAACTTTTGTTATTGTCGTTGTTGTTGTTGCTGTTATCGTTGTTAGCATTGTCAATTCTCATTGTCAATGGTGAATTGAGAATTGTCAATGGGGCTCGTTTTGCAATGCGGCACACATTTTTTTAATTAAATTCACACACAATGACGGCAAATGTGATAATAACAATAATGATAATGACAAAGACAACAAAAAGGCAAAAGTCTGTCGTGCCTTTTATAACAATAAATGAGGTTAAATTTTGTGAATTGATTAAAATGTTTTATTATTGGTGCTGAGTATTGAGTTTTATATCAAGTTAAAAAAATATAATATAGTTCAATTAAGGTAAAAGAATCTCGGTCACGATCCTCAATCACTTAACTTACTACCCTTTGTTGTCTATAGGATCAACGATGTGGAAAATATTAAACAGCTGAAATCAAAACAATTCTTGGTTTTATTATGGATTTAATCCTAAATTAATTTTTAACCACTGATGCCAGAATCATGCATCCTTAGTGCCTCGTATTGTATTATTTACATATTCGAACTAATGTGACATTTTCAAACCAAACCTTAGGAATATTATTACTTTCGGATTTCATGGTAAAGGCTTAGTAGGATGTATGCATGTTTCCTGAATTGTTTTTGAAACCAATTCGTATATTTAAATATTTTAAAGAACAATTTAGAGCTAAGAAAAAGTATTGCTATCAACTTTGAGGACTTAATGTTTGATTTATTTAATAATATACAATTCATATTTTTAGCATTATAAGTACTTGAAATGCTTTCAGCTACGATGCATACATATTGAAACCCACAATCACTCTAAATATAAAGCACACACCTCTTTCACTTGAATGCAATATATTTTTTTTTTGCTTTTTAAATAAATTTATAAAAACTCCTATTTGAATAAGAATTTTTGCAAGTGCTGTAGTAGTTTTAAGATTTTTAGCAGCGTCCTTTGTTGATTAAAATAGCTTGATTTATGTTCGTCCTCGCCACACCTGGCTGTTCCAAGCATCCTGCAAATTTGTAGTCATTTTCTCACGTAGTTAACTGCCATTTTCCTATTTTCACTTATCCCGCAAATGCATCGATATCATCGTATTGTGGCCATTTTTCCTATCGAACGTGTCCATTTGATTACTCTACAGATTTTTGCTTTTCACATGTCATTCTACTTAAGAGCATTTTGCATGCACACGACTGCGAGGCTTTCTCACTGTATTTTGGGATTGAAAAATGAAAAATTATGGTGCCTTTTATGTGTGCCGAATGCGTGTGGTGGAATGGGGTAGTTGGACTAAAATGTTGGTGAATAATGAAGGGAACTTCATATAAAACTAATAGGTGGTAATGGAATACACAAGAACTTCAACTACTAACAGCTATTTCACCAAAATCCACAGAATACTTTTTAAATGTATCTGTAACATGTATTTTATGTACATACATAGAGGGTGCCAAGGATAGTGTCAGAAGGAATCTTATTTAAAGAGTTTTCTAAAAGGTTTATTAGCTTTAGAAGACGGAGATGTATGTTTCAAAAATTGCTAATTATTTATTAAAAAATAAAATATTAATAGTCGCGCAAGCCCCGATTCGGAACGACTTCCTAATTAACAAGAAAGTTTTTGAGACTTACAGAGATTTTCACATCTTTCAAAGCAGATTTTAGCTATAATTTTGTAATACATGCTACATTTTTTTTTACTAAGATTGAATATGATGAAGCATTATAGAAACCTCATGAACACTTTGCTATTGCGGTGACCAAAATTGTTTGGTCAAAATATCGTATAAAATAAATAAGGATTTTTTGCTTCCATCGTCTTAAAAGCCCAACAATTAAGGCGAACCTATTCATATCATTTTGAATGTTGCTCTTTTCAAAACCAAAACTGGATCTGTGATGATTATGTGTAGCATCTAAGAAGCCTTTCAAATGTGTTCTCTCTTGGTATTGCGGCAAAAGGCTACCGAGAAATGCACAAATTGCTTTAGTACAGAGAATCCAGGTTTAAATTCAATAAGCCATTTAGTTTTATGTCATACTGCTACAATGTCACAATGCCAGTCCCTGGCCCACATATGCAACGGACTTCCGTTCACCTGATTTGGCCGACCGGCCAGCCAGCACGGTGGGCGTTAGACAATTGTCAGGCATTCTATTCTATAGCCCAGTGTCCGCGTCCAGTGTATGAGCCTTTGCCTTCATTGTGAGCCTCCTGTTTCTGTTCTGTTCTGTTTTTTTCTATTGTCAGCAATTCAACGGAATTGGAATTGTTGCCCAACTGAAAATTGTTTAGAGACAAACGCACTTTTTGTTTTTGTTTACCATACACACATGTATGTACATGCATGTGTTCCGCTGTTGCTGTTTTATGCTTCTGTTTACTATTTCCGAACCGGAAATGCAAGGACTGTCTCTGGCCTATGAAAACAATTAACCTTTTTGCCCAGATTTTCATAATAATTGTCAATTATTGTGGCCAGGACAATGGCTTACACATGTAAGCGCATATGTAAACGCCTCGAAGTCAGTACAGTGCATTGGAAAGTGTGTGCCTGGGAATCTGAATGTACATATATACATATATACGACAATTACCACAACAACAATCAACAACAAGCTCCTTAATGCAGCTTGGGAAAATGCAAATGCAATTTCTCAATTGGGCGAGCGTCAGAGCGTAGGCAATCGATGGCCACTCATAAGGCATGCT